ATCTCATAAACCAGTGTCGCGCCACCTTTGAAAGACGACGGCGACAAAACCAAACACGGCCAGATATCAATATGCTATCTTGTGCACAAGCGCGCAGCCAGAGCCTTGGCAATGGGCCAGGGGCACGCACAAGGTTGATAAAGGGCTCCCCAATAGTGAAAGCCCCCCCCCCCCCAAACAAAAATATCGCTGGCAGTTGGATTGCCCCATTGTGCCGGCCGGGGCTCTGAATAGTCTTCCAGCCGACCTTTCTGGCCTTTAGGCCCTCAAATCAGGCCCTTAATCGTAGATCCCGAGGCCCTTCGGGTCCCCTGAAACCTTAGGCAGGGGGAACGTGCCCCCTGTGGCCTTCCCTCCCTGCGCTCCTGCTTGCGCGTCAAGCTGTTGGTTTGCGTTCAGGTATAGGCAAATAACGGCGGATCGTAGGCTTTCTGCTGCTTAAATCATTCATCTATAATATAACAATCGTTTTACTCTATTTTATCATGGTGCACTTTCCTGTCGTCCCGTTGAAGTCTAAATCAAGTCGGATAAATAGCAGCATACGCCATGTTAATACCTGCTGAACACTCTTCATGAAAAAGCCCTCCCCAGGCCGGTTGATATCACCAACGAATTTTGGCTCCATCGACCTCCATACGACATTGGCTCCATGTTGTGGAATCGCCTCGGACCGAATAACAAATGACTGCAGTTCATTAAACTACCCGATGAGTGTTTGCCCCGACGGCTGGACACCCGGGACACTAAATGTTTTCCGTCCCCAACGGCCCGATTAGAGGTAGGAGAAAGGGCAACCAACGCCTTTTGGGTTTCCATGACCCTTTAGCACTAATAGTGCTAACAGTGCTAAAGAATCATCAATGACCCGGTCGGCGGCACACTACTCGACGGCGGTTTTCCCGAAGCTTCTGCTGTTGCAACGGTTGCAGCAGGGGGCGGCCGGGGCTGAGGAGCGGGCAACGGAGGCGACGCCCCAGACAGCGGTGGAAAAATTGACTCGAGGGGCTGCTGGAACTGCTTATCTGCTGACCGAGCTACTGCAGTTTCAGGTGCTTCAGCGGGCAGCCGCCGTTCATCTCATTCGCAGGTGACTCCGACAGTCTCTTCTACACTGTCGGTGTTCCAGTCAGTATACAAAGCCCCATGTTGCTCGACCCTGCTCGCGAACCCCGGTGTCTTAGGGCGACAGCACACAGCCTCTGATGCTGTGGATGTGACTGGCGGCGCGAGTGCGCGGCGGCCTCCATTGGTGGGGTGCACAGTTTGTGGTCCGTTTTTGGGATACGGCTTGTGCCGGCGTCAGTGCAGCGGTCTACTTAATGATGGCCTCTTATGCGAATGAGTGTGGGTGAATGGTTCGCTGTTGGTGTAACTGTGAGTCACGTGCTCATGCTACCTGTTAAATGTGCCTTTCCCACGGCTTGCGTATGTGTTGGGTTTTTATATACGTGTCAATTACGCATATGCACTTTCTTCATACAAGTGGAATCCATGGTGCGGCGGGATGTAGCAATCAGCTGCTGACCGAGGAAGGAGGACCGTGCAACACTAAAATCAATGAGTCAGTCGTTACAGTCATTGCAGTCAGTCACTGAAGCCAAACGAGCTGCCTCATAAACATGTCGGCTGTTTGGCTGATGCGAGATTTCGTGCTCGACGCCCACGCGCCCATTCCAGTCTTCAAAAACTAGTCAAAGGCCCCTGTGGCCCACCACTTCCCAATGTAACAAGTGTGCTTTGGTTAAGTGTAGTGGTGTCAGATTTGCCAACGGATCTCAAAAATGACGTAGAGAAAGAAGCATTTGCATTGAATCCTGTATTGGAAAGATGCGACAGGGAGAATGACACACCTAATTTGCTTCCAAACTGACATTCAGGTATAACGCGTTTTTACCAATGGGGTGGGTCTATTTCCGTGCTTAGGTGTCATCTTCCGCCCAGAATTGCAAATCTCGCCACACTGCCCTTGGTGAGCACTGCTTTTTCACCGTTCATCAGCTCCACCTACACAGATTGCTACTATAAACGGGAGCAAACAACAAGGAGATCGTTTTTGTCGTTGCGAAATTTACTAGCGAGCATCATCCAAACGTGAACGAAGTCGACATCTAATGTGTAAGTCACTGAGACTCATTTCGCCTTACGACGTGCTCTAACAATCACGTTATGGACATGGATTTAACATCTCTCCATGAGCGCTAGGACAGAGCATTTTCTGCTGACAGGGCACGTAAGCATGCAGCTTGGCCAGAAACCTCCATGTGGCTAACAAACATGCCAAGCTGCCTCATCACAGCTGCCTTTTCCGCATTGCACCAGGCAATACGTCTTTTTTGCCAGTGGTGTTTTTTTCCTGAGCGTCATTGTAGTCTCTCGATGTGAAGATGTCTCCTACGAAACAAGTCTCCCTTCCCCTCTTGGCTTTTTGTCCAGGTAGGACATTTGCGACCTCCACCACACAATCGTCTTCACCCATGTCCTCCGGACCGTCCCTCTTCTGCCATTGGTGCGCTGTTGAGGTAGTCGACTTCGTCCAGATTTTTCCCTTTGCAGACAGAGATGCCATTTTTGGTTTATTGGTTTTATACAACACGCATCACATCGCAGCCTACTCCTGTACATTTTGCTTCGATCCTGAGCATAAAGCACAGCGACTTTAAAACATGGAAAAAGGAAAACAAAATAACTGACCCAAAACGGAACGCCAACTGTATTCTCGCTCCGTTCTTTCGTAATCTACGAACTACACACTGCACAACTACATCTTTAGAATACCGCTCCGTATTTAAGATCATCTAGAAAATGCATACAGTTTGGCTCCAATGGTAATTTGCAGGCCGTCCAATGCTTGAAAGCGGAACTTCAAATACTCGCATCCTTAACGAGTGGTCGCTCTCGGGGAGTAATCTGGAAAGCCGAAAACGGGTGAGATATGAGAAATTTCAGTTCAGAACAGGATTGTGACCCCCACGTGAAAGAAAGTTATGCTTGTGTTTCAGAAGCGTGGGCATGCACCACGCTGATGGCTCACGGGTGGGTGGAATTAAAATAGCTGTGCAATAGTCGTGTCCCGAAAGATAGCTTTCCAGTTCACAGCAAATCCGTGAACGAATATCGGAGGCCACATGCCTCCCGTCCGCGTAACATATTACCCATCTTGTTAGAGCACATGCACTGCCGTCAAGAAGAAGGAAGTGATGGGGCGGCGATGGGGGCGGAGAGAGGGGGACAACAATAAATCGTACTAAGCTCTAGCCACGCAGCCGAACTTAACCTGAAATTAGGCCAACAACAGCAGAGTCGCCAACATTCATCGTCAACGCGATCAGCAGCTACCGTGATTCGGACGGCCCTCATGCATGGTACGCGCGCCCGTTGGCAAACTATGGCGTGCCTGTCTTCATTCCTGTAGCCACGCACGCACAGCTGCGATGGGAATCGATTTAGAGAAGAGCAACAGTTCCAGTATCATCGCTGACCGCATGCGGCAATTGCGAGTCCATGCCCTGATGTCCTAGGCTTACTACGCCCTGTCAATGCCATGCTGTTCATGCACGCCATACGGTAAACAGTCGTAAGACAGCGAGGCATAACCGAAACGAGTTGTGGTAAAAAGCTTATTGCCTCTAAGCTCAAACAATGCATCAATAAGAAATGACGAAACTACGACAGACAGGCGGCGGTGGCCCACAGACCGTCATCCCAGCCCCCGGGCGAGTACGCCCTCCTAGCCCAAGTGTGTGTCTACTGGCTGGTTGGTAAGAGTGGACAGTTTTCTGATCACTGCCATATCGCGGGTAGTGCAGGATGAAGGTAGTGTGCGCCATGATGCAAACATTATGATATATTTGATTTATGATTTTGGATCGAGTGCGTATTGTGAGTGTGATTGCACGCTATATGTGAATGCATCAACAAAAATTACAAAAAGGCCAGACAACCAAACCGCTGACCTGACCATCGCATTTGAAACTATCCGACGTCACACCGTGATGCTGGCCGCGAAACAGATGGGAGGCAGCCCCAATGCACAACCAACGCCGTAACTGTTTTTGACAACGTGACACGCTGGAAGACCGACACCCCTCCTTGCTGCGGATGGGCTTCTCCACGCCATTGCGAGACACTCGTCTGTCTAGCCCCCGCAGACGAGGTCTCTTCGCAGGCATTTTGGTCTGCCCGGAGTGCGCAGACCAGAACCATGCTTAGTGTCCCCTCGATGGGCTTTTGGCGACACCGTTATGGCCCGGAGCCGGATGTGGCAGCCAAACCCGCTACCACAAGCTATGTTCAGTGAGCGGCCGGACCCCACGCTCATGAAAGCGTCGGTGATTTCCGCGCAAACAAACCGGCGTTGGTGATGTATATTATATATATATATATATATATATATATATATATACATATGTATGTATATATATATATGTATATATACCTATATATGTGTATATATAGATATATATATAGATATAGATATAGATATAGATATAGATATAGATAGATAGATATATATATATATATATATATATATATATATATCATTGATCCCGTCGTAAAATGCGTAAAACAACATATAGTAATGATCCAAGGCTTGGTTCAATCGTCCCATTCATAGGAAATAATTAAAGAAACTATGTTGCAGCAAACATCCTAAGCCATACACATTTCACATACAATGAAAAGACCGAGACTGCCAGTGACTAAAAACTTTTTAAAGCAACTTCTGCACCCCACCTGTTCGAATTTGGCAGGGAAACTGCTTGCGAGGCCTATTTCCACCATCGCCAATGCTTCTCATTTTTCTTCGGGTAGCCGTGCCCGTGGTAAATATTCTCGAGGACCCATGAGCTCGAACTCTTGACCCGAACGCCCCAAAACCTGTCCTTCCCGAAGAATATCATGCTCCATATTGCAAATAGCATATGAAAATGCTATTGCGCGTAAGTCCTTAAGCATCCCAAATATAGCCTGAGTTACCTTTGTTGCAGTAAACTTTACGGAGGACTTCTTTTAGAGGACTAAACTTCTTTAACTCTCCCAATGGTATACATATAAGCCACCTGAGAACAAAAATGTTTTTGCACGTTTCATTCAAGAATGACGCCATGCACCGGTGGTGCCACAGAGAAGGAGCACTAAATGTTGACAAGACCATTCAATAACGCGGATGCGGGTGTACCTACATAATTGCAGGCCGCGATATGTTAGTGGTGTTGGTGCAGGTGGTGGTGGCGTTGGTTGCATAATAAAGTGGGGCTGGTACAGTCGACACGTGCTTGCGTAGACCAGCGATGAGGATGGTGGAATGAGATAGCAAAATGGCGTTACACTGAGGTCACGCACCATGCAGGAACTGTTATGGTCACACAATGGTAGGGGGGGAGGCAGACATTGGGGGTGTTGGCAGGATCAGACACTGGTGAAACTGGCAGGGCAATGGGGTCAGCTGCATGGAGCCGACACTCGCATGGAGCTGGAGGGGTCAGACACCATGGTGGGATGGGTAGACCCAGACATTGTGGTGGGGTGCATGGTGTCATGCACTGTAATGACATCCTACTGGTTAAGGCACTGATAGGGATGGTGCAGCCAGGCAGTGTAGTGGCATATTTGTGGGGGTCGGACGATGCAGTGGTGTTGGCAGTGTTGGACAATGTGATGGGGTAGATAGAGAAAGAAAAGCATGCATGAAATGCTAGATTAGAGCTGATGACAACAAATTCTACATGTCACAAATGATTCACACCCTCTTCAGAGTAGTCATTTCCTAAATAATTTGACTTTCCTGACATCAACTGACCTGAATCAAGCCGGTCGCACTAAGGCTTTCAGGTCTTCAATCGCTTCAATGTCCAGTGGCTATAACATCACCTGAAACAGCAACAATGCTAAAAATTATTCAGTGGGTGGAGATTAACTAAGGACTAAGTAAGTATTTTTTTTGTTTTTAGCGCCCCGGAGGTGTTCATTGTATCTTAAACGTGAGGGACGTATGGACTTCCCGACATAGACTCAAACAAAACAGGGAATACCCCTTTCGGTGACCATTTTTTGGCAAAACATGCTCAGGCTGAAATCGAGGGAGGTATGGACCCTATGCCCCTTTTAGAGCCCAAAGTCGTCTACAGAGCAGAGGGCCACCCAGGTAGGGAAAAATTTAATCTATTCTTGCAAAAAATCAGCGACCAAATTTTAACATACAAAGCTCATCCTGGCCGATTTTGCGAACATGATATGTGCCTTTATATGCGATGTGTGCTAGCTTAAAATAGTTAACATGTGAAGTGACGCCTGACGCGTGACATGCGATGTCTGTTCAGTTGAAATCGCTTGCATGTATAATTGATGCGCGACTGTGATACCTGTTAACCTCAACTTGTTTGTATGTTTGAACGAAGCGTAATGCATGACGCCTACTTGCTTGAATTAGTTTGCATGTACACGTATTGTCGCCTATTTTAATTATTAGATAAGCACCGTATCGTGGTAACGGCTAGCAATAACTTTTTGTTTAATCCTCTAAGAGTTGGTGTCCTGTAAAAACTGGCTTTCTATTTCCAAAAAAGCTGAAAAATCGGGTAGGGCCACCAGCAGGCAATTTTGAATTTATTTCTGCTACTTTTTCGATATAGGCATGTTGCCGAAATATCAGTTCAACTATATCTTTATTCTCCCTGTTTTTCTTCGACGAATAAGGCTATTAATATTGTCTTAGCTATGTGAAAAATGCTCCTCTGCTAATGCTAATGCACTGAACAACTTACGTAATCTTGCACAACATTGATTTGAGCCAACCGACGGCCGTTACGTCTGAAAATGTATTCACAAAGCCGGATATGAACGACGCAACGGTCATATGATGGCTTGCCTTAATCGCCCAATGGCCAATGAAATGGCAGCATTTGAAGACCACGACGAAATAATATTCGCACCTTTGCAGGTGTGTAGATCAGAAACTAGAAAGGTTTACAAAATTAGAAGGGTGCTTAAGAATGGCAGGACTGTGTAACATACTGAATGATCTTCAAGATGGCTAATTTCAATTGAAACCCATACAAATGTGGCACACACCCTTTTATGCTCTGGTATCTACCACACACTAAGGTTCCGATGTATGGAAAACCTTATGTTTGTAATGATTTCCCCTTCAAGGCTAAATTGGTGCCCAAAGCCTCTAAAAACGTGTTGTTCTAGGGGGTTGGGGAACATGTCTGTAAGTACCTAACGGCAACATTTTTTAAATGTAATACAACACTCACTGCAAATGCATGAGAAAAACTGCAAGCATCCCCCTTACAAACGTCTGGTCTAGCGTGATAAACCTACCCAGACAATTGCATAATATTGCTGAAGTCAATCTCTTCAACCACCTTCAAAAGCTAACACAATGTTTGCCACTTCAGCAACTATCCTTATCAGCACACCATTATCTAATCAATCAAGGCAAATCAGTCCTCCATTAGCTACAGTTGTCGGTAAACAGGGTTCACCAATCCCTTTCGAATATTTACTACTCACTTTTTAAAACCTTGCCGGACGACAATAACTTGCATCCAACGTAAGCCCAGTCTTCTCGTCCGAGAGGCCGCACACCGCAACGTCACCGCCGCGCTCGTTCCAAGAACGCGCAATGGCGACGATAGAGCTACGTATCCCATGTGACTTAACACAATTTACATTAATATCTTTCATCACCAGTTTCAACGTGATTCAATGTGATTTAAATGCTTATACCAAACGCAAACAACTTACAAGTGATGAGACCACATCATGGAGCAGCGTGATTTTGCATTTCCTTATTCATCTCTATTCTCTTCCACGTGACCTTGCCACCTGCAAAACTTACACACGCGCGCAGTTCGTCCAAGATAACACACTTAACACAACCGGAAGTAAAAATGCGTATAATTGCGTTTTTCGAGGACCAGCTGAAAATCGAATAAACATGTTCAAACAAGACTAAATATCTCATTTAAGGCCTCTGAAAACCGAGGTCCGGCATTTGGACCTCGGTAGTGAATACCGGACCTCGGCAGTGACGGGTTGTTGGGTGTGTAACCGGATTTGGTCCTCTGTTTTCACGGCACACAAGAGCACACACACACACACACACACACACACACACACCACACACACACACACACACACACACACACACACACACACACACACACACACACACACACACACACACACACACACACACACACACACACACACACACACACACACACACACACACACACACACACACACACACACACACACACACACACACACACACACACACACACACACACACGTATATATATATATATATATATATATATATATATATAGCAACAGATGCAAGATGTTGTGAACACTCGATGGTAGATACGTACATGGGCTTTAAAAAAGTTGTAATTATTATAGGCCACACACACACACACACACACACACACACACACACACCACACACACACACACACACACACACACACACACACACACACACACACACACACACACACACACACACACACACACACACACACACACACACACACATATATATATACATATATATATATATATATATATATATATATATATATATATATAGCATATATATATATATATATGTATATATTGGAAACATATATAAGTGGAGAAATACGGGGAGTTTTTCATACCTGTTCCCTTATGGCGACCTTCGAGACTTTGGCCGCCCCCCTAATCATTCTGAGAAACCGACACCCAAGCTGGCCTGACGTGACCCAGCGACTTTTTCTAAGAAAAGGAATGTAGGCTAAAACTGGTTGCATGAACTAGTATGATGCCTCATCGGACTCTTATCTCGCCTTTGACCTTGGTTGGCCTCATTTTACCAGAAGGTCACGACCTAGTGACCTAACAATTAGACACAAATGAGTTCACATGAGTTCTACCTACCCTTTGCATTTTGCGTATGCATCCCTCTTCTTGATGTTTCAAAGGAAGCAGAAACCACTTCGAGCGATCGTATCCAATCAACCGCCTGGGCGGGTGATAATCTTGTAGACTGCAGGAAGCAAAAGCTGGTTAACGCCAGACTGAATGAGTCGCAGCCGCTCGCAGGCCGACGATAATGGGCTGATTCTGTCGCTGGTGCCGACGATAATCCACTTGTCCGCACAGCAGTGCTGTCTGCCCGCTGCGACCAGACACCACTGACATCCTGGCACCATTGTTGCGCCTTGCACCACCAGCGGAGGCGAGTGTGTCAGTATCTTTGGATAAATGTACCCTTGTTCGAGGGGGCGTGGTGACTAGCAGTCAGGGGCTGAGTTCTTCACCTTTCTGAAAACTTGTTATTGGCTCTATGGACGTTTACTGGGAAAACATCACCAAAAATGGTTATCGGTCACCCAGCTTGAGAGGACTTCCAATGCCCATGTATGATTGAAAAAAGAACGTAACGCGCCTTCCAATGGGATGCTTTTTTGAAACGCCCGCCTGCATCGACTACTGAATCTCATTAAAGCGGGTCGATTGCCGATTACGGGTCGATTGCCGATTACGTTGTAGTGCCAACCGTCCACATAAGGATTACAGGATCACGGTAGCATCACGGGTCACAGTCAAAGTGCCGGCCGATGTCACTCATGTGTAAGTCATGCCTTTGAAAGTATAGCCTGAGACGCGGTTTTGAGGTCAGTGCCCGTTGGCAACGACGGCGTGTACCACAGCTTGCTTATGTTCACTTTCGTTTCACGTCAAGCTCTTTGTCAGCTTTGCTTCGTCGTTTGTATGAAATGCGAGTACTGATCCCCCCACCTGTGGCAGTATTGTACACATTTATCGCGCGCATTGACTCCAGACCAAGACCGTCCTTCAGAAGTCACCGGCTCTGGTTAAGTTCAAGTAAACCAGTGGGGGCTCAGAGAGCGCTAACTGGCAATTCCACTCCTCCCACAAGACGGGCGAAAACGGAAACCTCAGTTGGTTTGACCTCTGTTTCTACGTGTGCATGGAAAAGGGTGGGATGGCGTGCTAAGAAGGAGTGGAGCTCTGAAAGGAGAATTTGGAGGGAGATGAAGCCTTTCCAACCGCACAAGCAACCTCGTCCGCGGTTAGGGTAACGACTTTGTGAATGGTCTCAGGGTGTGTACACAGTTATGAACGGGTTGGAATAGTGGATTGACATTAGGGCGGGCTTAGGACTGGAATTCAGGTCAAATCTTCCGAACTACAAACAGCAGTAAGGCTGGGGCGGAGGACAGGCGGGCTCATGCTGGCCATCATACCGCCAGCTGATTACTAGTCGGATGGGTCGTTCGGGTGATGAATGAGCGCCTGTTTGCATAACGGGGCCATTAATTTCAGCTGATACCAAAGCTGCATGCCGAAGTGTTTTACAAATACGATTTCATCCCTCACGTCAAACTTCTGGAAGGACGCCTCTACAGCACCCGCGGCAGCGTTATTTGTGCCCGCCGGAACGAAACGACGGCACTATTAGCAGCTTCTTTCCATAGCATGCATTTTCTAGGCCTTGCAGGGAGTGTCCCACTGTTGGGTCATATTTGAAAAACGTACTCTGGTGGAGCTCACGACCATTTACGTATTTTAATAACAATGGGCATTGCCACTACAGCACCATCAAGATATAGTAAGGATTTGAATTGTGATTATTTTCGAGTCCAAATGATGTCCACATTCCATAACGGCGCTACACTTCTTCCTTCCATGGTAATCCTAGAGTGTATCCCGCGTCCGTGACCGTGTATTGCAAACAATATTAAACACATACGTTGGAAAAACCAGGAAAATGAAATATATTACTGTTATAGTTCTGAGCAGGGAGTCCAATGATATTTTTCTCGCAGGAGCGGCTACTTCAGCTCGAAATTCTGAGCTGTTCAGATGGCTTTCGAAAAAACTGGAAGTACGAATAAAATCGAACGCGTCTGTTCTAACAATAAATGACATGCACAAAACAGACGGCATATCCCTTTAATCACTGTACTTCATCACACTTCTATGTATATACCGATATTTCATTCGTGCCAGGGGGCTGAAAATATAGATGGGATAGATTGCATGCAAACATTGAGATAAAGCTGGGCAATTTTGTGTAATTAGAGAAGAAACAGGCATAAGCCCCTGCGAATTGATAAGCTATAGGCTGTTTCCAGCAGCGGATTCCCTCGGATTCCAGTCGAAAATCATCCTACGGGCCGGGCCTTGCTTTTAGGGGATGCTCTTCAGGGATGGAGGGATGCACTAGCAAGGATTGAGGTCCGGAAGATATCCATGGGAGACAGGCTTTTCAGCAAGTCATTCGACCACACCTGTCAATAAAATAATGCCCACTGTGACGAGAAACAAGGAGCGACCAGCTGTAACGAGAACTTCAGGGAGACTGAACAGGTCGTTCAATTACACAGTCAAGCTACGCACAGGTAGACAGTTGGCGTGGTAATGGTCCTAACATCCAATTCAGATTCAGTTTGGAGCGTTTTAAGCAAGGAAATGTTGGTCTCGAAGAGAGCCATGATGTATGCACGTGCTATGTTTTCGTTTGGCGGCCTGCAGGCGCAGCGACTGTTCCATGTCATGATGTGGAGCGCAATTTCCTGCACCCTGCCGAGCCTGCGCTCTATGGTGAGCCAATACCGGCCCCCCACGGCCGTTCGGCCGCGTCCAATGTTATGGCAGGTCTTGGACGGCTCTGGTAAACCTATCAGACCCGGGCCTTTTCACTTTGGCGCGGTCTGTTTGCGTTCCTCTAGTGTCACTCAGGGGGCCGCCAGCAAACAACGCACGCGCATCCACTACCGCCGCGCCGACCGACTCTAGCCTGCGTAAATAAACACGCGCACGCAAGCACACACAGACATACACACACACGCACCAATACACTCGCAGCGAGCACACACGAACGCGCATGCACGCACGCATGTGTGTACAATTTTTTCACGTGGTTGTGTAGGCATCTGTTTACCAGGTTTTCCTGCGTCTGATTTATATAATAAATGTATTTTACAAAGTTGGCAGGCTCTTTTATGCTTTCGCAAACTTTATATGTGGCTAACGTCAAGATGCCTTTCAGTGGAAGCATAGCAAAATGCTTTGCGCAAGGGGCTTCGATGTCCAGTTATCTACAATCTTTACACTCGCTCGGGTGGAAGTCAAATTTACCTCCTCAGATGTTTTTCCGGAATGGTTTGCGACTGGCGAGGCGTAGCCATCCTAAGTTTTGCATAGCTGTAGACAGATAAATAGCGGATCGTCTGGTATCAAAAATATAGATGTGCCTTGTAAGGTTACTGACCTATAACAGGTCAAAGTCAGGCTATGGTTTCAGCGAAGGCAATGCCAGGGAATCGTTCAATCTGATCCAACAACAGAATGCTAGACGAAGCCATTCATCTCTGAGATACTTTCTTAGACAACATCACAATTGAATACATGAATGACATTGACCTAGGGTCAGGCATGAAGATCAGACCAAGGTCAAAATCAACCTGTTTTATTACTCCAGGGCTTGCTGTATGGGGAAGTTTCTGGCGCTCATTTCGAATTCATTGATAACAGGAACTGCCTTACACACTTGCCATGGACTTCTTAAAGGTCAGAA